CACAATTAATTCGTCGGTCACAGATTTTAAAATTTATAGGTCCCACAGTCACAGATTTTCAAATTAGTTGGTCACAGATTCTTTTACAATCACAAATTATATAATTTTTAGATTACTGATAGTTAGTTACAATAACTAAATAGTTGGTCACATGCACCAAACACCCCACCACGAATACTTGGTCACAGATCAACCAAATAATTTGTCACAAACGCTATCCCACCACCACACTACCAACAACTATCTCCACCACCAACAGAAACGCATGACCAACGCCATCGTCACAACCACCGTCATCATCGCCACACCTACCATCACTGCCATCGCCACCGACAACCACTTGCACGACTATCATCGAACAACCACTGAACAACCACCAACACCACTACTACACCACAACAAGCACCACTATAACACAACCATTTGCAAATAAAACCAGAAAAATGGGAAAAAACAGGAAAACCACCAATCTTCCTCCACCACTAACGGCTCGTGTTTTCTGGTTTGGGCTCTAGATTTAACGAATCTGAAGGAGCCACTGAATATGCGAGGGTCTGATGGAGCCACAACGGTGGTCTTGAGCGAGCGGCACTCCGCTGCACACGACGGTCCTACTACATGCACAGCGCTACTTCTACAACGGCTTCATCGCAGACTGAACTGAGGGGGTTCCGATGCCGGATGAGGGGATGGGTGCGACGTCGGAATAGTTAGGGTTAGGGGTGGGGTGGGGAAGGTAGAGAGAGTTGAGACTGAGAAGAGAAATGACGAGAGACGACAAAAAGAGTGAGGAAAGAAGTGACTTAGGGTTTTAATATTAATATATTTATTAAAATATAAAATTATTACCTAATTTTTGAATAAGTAAACTTTCAACCCGATTTTTGAAAATCAATCTTTAAACACCTTATTTTTTGTAATTTCAAATCCGAGAGCCAGTGAAACAGTTGCAGGCATTTTATCAATCTCCAACAAAGCATCATCAAAATTCAATTGAGCAAGATTGCCACAATGAAAATCTATTGTTGCGATCCAAAAGCGGAATTTCAAATTTCAAAGTTATCATCCCTGAACAATCGACATTGTTCCAACCTCGCTTTAATAATCAATTTGGACGTGCCAAGAAATCGTCAAAAAGTCATTGGCTTTGATACCACTTGTTATGAACCAACCCGATATAAAAAAACGTTTTGATATCACTAGTTGAGAAACCAGTCAAATAATTAAAGACAAAAAATAGGAATAATATGAAATTTAATGGATCACACAACAATCAAGAAAACTGTGGAAGAAGAGAATTTATTATACTAAGAAATAAACAATTGTCTTACAAAATTTGATCTTCTCAATCTAATTTAAACACTTCTCTTTTGTTTCTAATGTATACAACAATGATCTAATTATTATAATCTCTCTCGAGTCTCTCATTTTCACCCTTCTTTTGAAGTGTCTATACCTTGTGGAGTATTTATAGAAGCCAAATCTCGAATTTGTGGATGAGGTAGAGTCCAAGATGGAGAAGAAGTCCCAAAATCCAGATAAAACGGAAAAATCGCGATCAGTTACTGATACAGCGCTCGGGCTCTACTGTTGCAACGCTTGGGCGCTAGGTGCAGCGCCTATCGTAGCGCCTGGACGCCACGCCTAGCGTTCAGGCGGTATGTGCCTGGCGCGTGGGCACTAGGTCCCTACCTCCTTTTTCTTATTACTTCAATTCTTGGCGCCTAGGCGCCGCGATGGTAGCGCCTAGGCGTTAGGTCCCGGGTTAACATACCAAAACATGTTTTTTTGCCATCCAGAGCCATTTTTCAAGTCAAACTCCTAATTATTATTGAAATTTGATCTCCACAACTTAGGACTTTACAAACCCAAGTATCTTAGACTTCCTCCAATCAACCAAATCCCAAATCACATGGAATCCAATCAACCAAAACTTCCAAACCAAGATTAAACAAACTTCCTTCATGCAACAAACTTCTAAATCACATAGAATTTTATCACAAAACCTAACATCACTGTCTTTTGCAGGTAAGCTTTTCGGGCATGTAAGGGCTAGAAGTGTAGCCAAAGGTCTCATTTTCGAGTACCCATGGGCATAGATTTTCGAATAGCGGAGTGATTTCCCCCTGGCTCAAATCCATAACGGGAGAGAAGATACATTTTGCTGAAGAGAGGGATTTATATCCTTGGGAGAACAACATAGTCGAAAAATCTTTAAACATGCTGATTGTATTACTACATTCTCGTGGTAGTTGCCATACTGAGTATACATTTTGCTTAGGGTCAGGGCCGGTCCTGTGATTTTTGGGGCTTGAGGCGAACTCCCAAAATTTGGCCTCCCCAAATCAACGTAAATGTAAAATTCAACAGTGTATTATACAACGTATTGCTAACTTAACACTGAATAATAGAACAACAAACAAAAATAAAGAACAAAAAATTTAGCCGACCAGGCCACAATTATATAAGTCGACAAGGCTTCAAACATGTTCAATATATTCAATATCAAGTTAGGACAAGCCATTGGTTACTTGAGAAGTAGAAAATCGACGAAAATTATGGAATCCACCATATTCCACCGTCCCATCTCACAAGCCTGAAGTCAAAAGTTCACATTAACACGACATCACTCTTTCTTAAGCTACGAAATTTACCCTTTTTAATCAATAAAAGGTTAAACCACATGGAATGGAATCACACCCTATTCANCACATTAACACGACATCACTCTTTCTTAAGCTACGAAATTTACCCTTTTTAATCAATAAAAGGTTAAACGACATGGAATGGAATCACACCCTATTCACAAGTCATAACAATCAGATAAACAACATATGGATTATGGAATATTATATTACAATCAAGAAATTCTATATTCACGTCATAGATGACCTAGTACTTTAGCAATTTGTCAAACCACATGAGAAGATCTATTTTGATGCTAATCTATGCCATAGTCAAAAGTTCTAATTGTAGTTAACACGAGACCAAGCTTTCAATAGTTTTCCTAATGAATTAAATAAACTGAATCCTAGCAGGCAGTTAGCCAATCACTAATCCTAATGAACTGAATGAAGTTTCGCCTAATGTTTGGAGTTTTTCATCTTCTCATCAAACCCCAGATTTTGAAATGTCGAATCCTTTACTTTTGGAACAATTTAGCCATCGATATCTCTTTTATGAACCCTAAACATTGCTCGATAATTTTCCACACAGAATATGGTTTACGGAAAGCATGAAAATAAATTCAATCAAATATCTCACCAAGTATTGTGCTAATGAGAATTATAGGAACTCCAGGGGCATAATGCTTCAATTCAGGGATCCACTTGGAAAATGACAGAAAGCAGAAATAATTTATCAAGCCAACAGTTGTAGATAATCCTAAAAAGTCCAATGAATACAAAGAAAAACACGTTCTTATATGAGTAGTCGAAGTCATACCCTTTTTAAAGAATTTTCATAGCTTGCCTTGCTAATGAGAGAAAATGCCAAAATAAAAACATCAGCCCCGCGATAGCTCAAAGGTCTTAATCTATTATAGTCCTACTGCCCTATTCCAAAAAACAAGTGCAAATTCATCGAGAAATTCATGCCCATCTGGGGCTGTGTTTGTGTGTAAAGTTTCAAAATTACTAATGTTATGAAAGATTTTTCTAGTGTTTACCAGCAGTATCCCACATGCCTAGATTAACTGTGGCTCCATTGACTACCGCATTCGCACTGAAATTATCGAACACAGTAGGTACATAGTCCTGATTCATTTGATAAAGGAAAATAAAACAATAAAACATGTAATCAATTTGAGAAAGAAAAGAACAAATCGTATCCAACATGCATCAAATTATAAATAACTGGTTCAAATTATAGCAGACGACGAAGGTACACAGTTGACAAATTACAATACGTCAATACCAGCAAGTCCAGACTCCAGCACAGTAGCTTGCAGTCGACCCTCTACCGTTGATTGATTCACATTCACCTAAAGAAGGCTTGGATAACTTGGATTGGATTCTTGAAATTTTGAATTGTTGATACTTGAGAGGGGAGGAGATGGTGACGAGGTGAAACTTAGCCCCTATTTGTCTACCATTAATCTAA